AGTTATCTTATTTTGTCTTGAACTTTTTACGGCTTAGATTGTTTTGAGATTATTGATCCAACAACCCTAATTGATGTTTGAATTTTTTTTCCTGTTCAAAAATTTGAGTAAGTTTTTCATCCCATATACAACTCTAGATTCATATTGCTTATGTACCTTTCCTTCTCTCACACTCATACGATGTCTCTGTCTCCCTCCCTCAGTCTCCTCTCTCAGTCACGCCCCTCTATCTCTCTCTCTCTAGGCAGAAAACACACAAAAAACAAAAAACACACGCATGAGAACACAAAAAACACACTCAACTCACAGAACACACACAAAAACACACACACATGCACTTAGATCCTACTCTATTCATTTCTTCCGCTTCTTGGAGTCACTAAGGTCATGTTTGTGTTTACTTCTGCTATTGTACTTTGAATTTCAGTATGCTTTGATTTCTAGATTTGTTGTATTTCTCCATTTGCTATTTGCTCCAATATCCACTTCATCTGAACTCTTTGTTATTCATTTTATTTTATTCATGTTTGGTAGTCTTCGTTGTCTTTGCCTCAAATTATTTATGTGATCTATTGATTTTAGGTAGACTAAGATGGGTTTCTTCCATTCAAGCTTCTAAGCATTTTCTTGATTTTATCAACTCTGATATATTCCAATTATTTTGGGCCTCATTCTATCTATTTATGCATTGGGAATGTTGAAAGACATTTTTGGGAAAAGTTGCAAGTTGCTTCTTCTTGGATTTTTCCATGTATAAAATTGGGTTCCTCTTTTTCAATGAACAGAGGATTATTTGACATGTATTTCAACTTTTGTAGAGGTTTTTGATTGTGTTCAGACTCCGATAGTCCAAAAAATTACAACACCACTGCATTACTAGAAATGTGGGTGAAACCAAACAGAGATAATAACTATTAATGCCTTACTCGACCAAGGGATCTAGTATGTATGTTCAACTTTTTCTATTTCCATATTCATCAAGTGCCAGAGTACAAAATAATTTTTTTTTTTCTGGGTATATGCCCAATTCAAAGTTTGTACTTAAGTTTTATTTACTCAATTATTGGTGGTATGCCACCTTTATTCTTCCTTCTCTTGATCGTCAGCCCACCACATTATGTAACAATGAATCCCTTTACGAAAGGCCCTGTATCTTTGTCGAAATGCCCTTTACCATTCTCCATTGTTTGTACTTTGTATGTCATTAAAATTGGTGCTATGAAAAAGAATTCCCCCTCTCATGCAGGCTTTGGGTTTTTCTCAAACTTTGTGTCTATTTTATCGTTCTTTGATCAATATCTTCAGTGAGGTTTTCTGTGAGGCCAATTGCTTGATATATATTTTATTAATTGTTTTATTATTTTGCTTGCATTATGAAAGTTACAAGTTTAATTTTCTTAAGGGCGATTAGGCTTGTATTGTTTTTAATGTTGCTAATTTGTGACTTTAATTAGAAAAATAAATATTGGTATGATGGATGTCTTAATGCTCATTAGTATGAACATCAGAATTAGTTTTCCGTAATTTTTTGCATGTCTTGTTGAAATATCATTAAATTTGTTTTCTCAATGCTCTTGTTGTAACTTCAACTCAAACTATCTGAACTTGGAATCTCAAGGTCATTACACGCTTTTTATCCAAAGTGCATCAATCAAGTAAAATTTTAAAAGTGTTTGGCTACATGTCAAACATCAAAGAAGCTATTACAACAGGCAATGTTCTTAGGATGGACACCCATGTGGTCTTTACCTTGGTGTTTGTATTTGTATAGTTCAAAGTTTTCGTTTTTGGCTTAAATTATTTGTGTGGGGCATTGTGAAAAGAAAAAAATAAAAGAGTATTTTAACTGGTACTGTAGGATTTGTCTTTTGACAGTTTATGCGAAGGTTGGAGATTTTATTTGAATATTTCATTTAGAAGCTGCTTTTGATAGTCAAAGTTTGATTTATATGTTTATTGAATGAAATGTAAATTTGTAGAATGCTCACAACAAAAGCTAGATGTCATACTTTTTATTATATACTACTTTTATGCACAGGCATTAACTAGTAATTATGTATGATAGTTTTTTATAACCAAGTCATTTATCACATAATTAACTGTTCATATAATTGCTCTCTTTTTTTCGACAAGGAAAGAGCAACCAACTCCTTGATAAAAGAGAGAAATCTTAGGGATTACTATATCACATAAGATCCAATCATCAATCAACAGGTCAGCAACCTTGGATATTACAGTAAAATGTTCGTCCTCTATCTCCAATCACGGCACTAATTTGACTTATTCTATGTTAAAAATGAGCAAACAAAATATATATAATAAAAATTAAAATATAATTTAAATCCCAAAAATAAACCAAACAATTTTTGTTTTTTGCAGTTAAGATTCTTTTTAAATTTATCTAAATCAAATTCAATGGCTAAGATTAACTCCCAAAATTTAGATTCTAGCCTCCCTTCTGCAACGTAAATGTAGCTTCTCTTTGGGTGGGGTTATTCCCACCTCGCAAATCTTCATTCTCATCTCATTTAATTTCTCATTATCAAACTACTAAGTCCATCCTGTCTATAATTAACTCATTAGTAACTAAGTCCGCATCATGCTACATATACCCTTTTTAATAAGTAAACCTATTTTATATTTTGTCATAATTAGGGTTTTATTCTCTATCTCATCTCATGCACTCACAAAAATACTTTTTAAATATAAATTTTTTCAGTGAGATATAGGTTAATATTATTTCTCAATTTAATTCTATATTTGATTTCATGTGTTATTATATGGATTTTCATTATTTTCGATATTTTTTTATATTTCTATTAAGTTTAATAATTTTTTATTTATAATTTATATTTGTGTATATATATGTATGTTTTTAGATTATTTGTTCCTTTTTATCTTATTAAGGTTTTAAATCTATGTTTGTTATTTTTTTTTTTGTTCAATTTTGTGTTTGTATTTGATGCTTGTTTTTTTTCATATTTGGTTTTGCGTCGTATAGTTTTGCTTGTTTTTTTAATTATTACTTGGGTTTTTTTTTCCTTATTGTTTTGATTTGTTTCTTTCTTTCTGTTTTTTCCTTATTTCATTTTTTCTTTTTTTTTTTTCTTGTTTCAATCTACTTCTTTGTTTTTTTTTTCTTGTTTCATTCTTTTCTTTTTTCTTGTTTCGGCATGCTTATTTTTTTGACTTGTTTTGTTTTTAGTTTTTTTTTCTTGTTTAAATTTTGCTTGGTTCTTATTTTTTCTTATTTCATAAGTATATTTATCCATTCAAACTAATTATCTTCTTTCATTCTTTTTTTAACGATAACTTCTTTTATTATTTTTTTCTTATGATGACGTTTTTCATTAAAGGATTGTACATAAAATGATTAAGCTTAACTATTAATAAGGTGTATGTTGCATGAGGTGGACTTAGTTAGTAATAAAGTGAGTATAGAAAGGGTTGATTTAATAGTTTGATAATGAGAAGTTAAATGTGGTGGAATTGTAGATCTTCTCTTCCCATCTCTCTTCTGTTGCCGCTTCTCTCTTCTTTCCTATCTCTCATGGTCGTTGTTGGCACCGCCAATAACAACCTGAATGCAGCAGCCACCGTGATCCACCACCTAATAGCTATCGCAATGCAACCATTCACTCCCAATAGTATTGCGACGCTAATAGGCACCGCGATCCACAGTCGGCCAGGTATGCCTCCCTCTCTCCTAGGGACAGCTGAAGCCAATTTAAGGCCTAAAGCGAAAATATTAAATGAAATTTTTTTTATTTTTAATATTATTTTTCTAAAAAATTAATATATTTTAATTTTCTATGTGATAGGGAGACAAAAGAAATGTGTGTTAATATTTTCGAGAAAGAGATTTCACCTATTGTTTTTGTTTTTTACCACAAAGAAAAAGTACTTAATTTCAACTTTTGTTTTTCTTTTTGGTTTTTATTTTTTTCACCGGGGAGAGAGAGAGGGAGAGAGAGGATGAGTGGATGTAAATATGAGTTGACTTTGAGTATTTTTTTTTTATTTTTTTTAATTTCGAAGTTTCTAATGTTATGAATTAGATTATAGGCCCAAATTATTGTAATAAAAATTTTGATTATATTTAATTTTTTTGGGCTTTTTTATAGGGCTTAAAATTTAATTAATTTAATTTTTTTTGTAGACTAGTGATGTACCTAAAATTATGGGGCTTTCTAAAAATTTGGGGCCTAAAGCTCATGTTCTTTTTTCATACATGTTGGGTCGGCCCTGCTCTCTCTCCATCTCTCGAGGTTGTGTTTATATGTGATATGGTTTGTTTAGGGGTCGGAGTTAGTTCAGTTGATGGAAGATTTGGTTGGAAATTTGGGGTTTATGGCCATGTAGTACCAATGTTTGGAGATTTTAGGGTTTTTAATTCTTATTTGTTAAAAGTGTAGCAATCTTCTTTGATTGCAAATCTATTTTCATTCGATGAATTTATGTTGATTTTGGCTCCAATTGTGGAATCTCTATCTAGAGCTCTACTAGGTCAAAATCATCCGAGAAAAGAATTAATGGGTCAGAGTTTCTTGAGAATGTGTTGTATTTAGAGTTTAGTTTTGGAATCATTATTAGAAATTGTGAGTTCATTCTGCTGGATTTTCTCTGCAAACACAAACTTTATGTTGCATTTTCATGGATTATTTCATTTGTTTATCTTATTGGTCAAAGTTTCGTAACCACTACCCACTGTCCACCATTGAACCGATCCCCACCATAGACCCCGCAAACCCACTCCACAAACACTACCACAGCCCTTACATTCGTCACTACCACTGCCAAAATAGCCAACTGTCGCCCCCACTTATTTCCTTGATAATGCACATCAACTTTATGTTAAAATGCCTGACATATTGTCATTATTTGAAGTTGTCTATCCTAACCATCCAATGAATGAGGGATAGAGATAGATGACAATGGTATGTATTTCCACTTATACAACAGGTATGAAAAGATTTTATGTTCTTTTGATGGTTCATTAGGACAGTGCACATTTGTTACATTAGCTATTGGATTGTTTTATGACAATTCTATGGGTTCCTCGATTCCACAATGGTATGTATTTACACGTTAAGATAAAGAGAAAGTAATACTTACAAGAGTTGCCCACTAATTGAGGTTTATTTCTTACTTTATATCATAGAAAGTGAGGTTATTTCATTTCTATTTTGTTGCAATTAATTATGTTTTTAATGTCTGGTTGGTTGTTGGTATTTATGTGGGGTATGACTAAAAATTTATCAACCAAGTTTTTTGTTGATATCTTCGCAGGTTACATGCTCCTCACGTGCCCCAAGTATGTTTTGATATGATGTTGGGCAGATGGATTATTTTCTATTTTGCGTTGTGACAATGTCTTTTGGTTCGCTTCATGTGGTAGTAGATTAAAAAAGTCACAAAATTGTAAGCTACAATTCTATCAAATATTGGCTACATCTGATTTCTAGTTCTATTCATGGACAAATTGAATATGTAAAGTTGATGGCCCTTGTGGTAGTGAGTTATGTTTAAATATAACGTAATTCATTATATCCTATAAAATATGGTCAATTCATTATATCCTTATGCCTTTAAAAAGCCATTTTTCAAGCATGTCCATCTCTATCTTCAAGTTGGTCTCATTCATCTGTCTTACATCCATACAAAGAACGAACTTGTTGATGTCTTCACTAAAGCATTGGGACCAACTCCATTTCACATACTAATTCGCAAGTTGGGTGTTCATGATCCTCGCACTCCAACTTGAGGGGGAGTATTAAGAAATCTGTATATCCCACTAATTTAGGCAACATTTTGTATCTTCCCTTTATTTTCTCCTCCTTGATTTTTTCCAGAATTCTCTGCTTTATTTTCTCCTTTACATTGAGTGTACCTCTGTATATATTTGTTCATGACAATAGTAAGAAATACATAACTCAGATTTCAATCTTTTACTGTCTTCAAGCAAAGACACATGCCCAGGAAAGAGGAGGAGATAAATTAGGGGTTGAATTCAAAAAAGAGTACGTTCTATTGTGTCAAGTGCAATATTTTTGATGAATTATTATGTTAATGTAGTACTTTAACAGTAGTGGGAACGTGATTAATTAAAGTTGTGTTTTTTTAAATAATGATAGGATTATATAAGATGGGTATGCTATGCAGGTTGATATTTCTTAAAAAATCATGTTTTTAGAAGAAATTTTGCGAAAATAATTTAAAAATATTAATGAGTTCATATTGATCGATGATTATCAAAATTGTGTTTTATATTGCTTTTGTATATGAACAAACATCTGCAATTTTTTTACTAGTTAAATAGTGTCTTGGAATAGGGGTAATAACTAATAATATAATATAATAATAAAATTTAACACGTGCTACTTTTTAATTGAACAAACTAAAAAGATGAGGGTACCTCCATTTTGTTTTGTTTTTGTCCTTTTATATAGGCGCGTGCACGTGTGACATCTGCCCTATTTGGTTTTCGTCTCTCTTTCTGGGGCTCTGTCTGTTCTATGGGATTGTGGACGGTGATGGTCCTGGTGGGTTTGGTAGGTGATAGGTAGTGGCGATTGGCTGTTGAGTAGCCCGAATTTTTCAGCTTGGGTTTTGGCTAATGGAGACCTAATGTTCTGCGCCGAAGAAGATCAGAGTGGAATGAAAGAGCTGAATAAGGTGTACATATCGGTAGAAGGGAATGATCAAGTCCTGTGAGTTTCCTTTGCACCCGGTGTGATCATTGATTTGATTTATCGTGGAGGACATGTTTTGTTTAGTAGAAGAATTATTGATCAAGCTTTCACTTGTCTGTCCATCAATCACTGTTTGTACCGTCTCGTGTGGAATATAGTCAATGTGATGGGACCCAGTACCCATGTGATATTCATCAGACTGACTGTTCTTTTCCAAAAATTTTTCCACCACGTGAATTTGTTGTCCAAAACCAATGAAGTATTGCCCCACAGTATAATTTGTGATATGAAATTTTAGTTTATATACATTATTAAAAATAAAACACATTCTTTTTGTTATTTTATTTCTTTTTTAAAAGTTTATGTGCCTTATTTTTATTAAATAAAAAGAAAAAGTTTGGTACTGAAAATATAAGTTATGATAACATTTTAGTGTATCAATTTTTTTTTTTATAAAAGTCTAATAATAAAATTGTGATTGATAAATCTGAAAGTTAAAGTTTGAAAATTTAAATTTATAGACTATTTGGTATCCACTGAAATTTAAGTACTGAATTGAACTAATTACACAGAACTGACGTCTGAAAATAAATTAATTTTTAATTTTACCCTTCCATTATTTATTTGAAAATATTTATAAAATATTTTTATATCTAATCGAATAATAATAAATTGAATAACACAATAAATAATAAATAATCAAAAAATATTAAAGAATAAATTAGATTTTATTAATAACAAATTGAAAAAAATATTTGTCTATTTGTGTGAATGATTATATGTGTGTGTTTACAGTCGTGTGTGTAACTGTGAGTCTATATGTGTGTGTGCACAGTGTGCATGTGTGTCCAAACTCTGTGTGTATATGTAATTATGTGTGTGTAGTGCATGCTTCTGTGTGTTGCAGAAGATAAGAGACGAAGACAAGAAAGAAAGAAGATGATCAAGACGGTAAGGAGAATAGATATGTCGGGAGTTTTAGAAAGAAAGTTAATTAGAATTTTAATAAAATTGTGAACACATTTTGAATTTGCTAAGCTCATTCAACTTTCAAATATTGTAAGGGGTCTTCTACTTAATTTTGTAACCTATTTTTAAGGTGTACTTTAAAATATTAAAATTTTAATTATTAAATGAGTTTAATTAATAAATATTGAATATATTTATTTTAAATGCTGAATTTAAATTAAAAAACACACTTTTAACACGGTCTATTAAACACACTTTTAGCCGTCTCTCAACATAATCTTTGTGATGGGACCCAGTACCAATGTGATATTCATTAGACTGTCTATTGTGTGGACCCATGCTCTTCCACTCTGTTCAGTTCTTCTAATATTCTCTCCTTTTTCTTTTGTTTACGAGTCCTCCTCCTGTATGCTTGTGAACTGCTTCTCTCGGATCAGTGATTTGTGAACTTCAAATCTTTGTTCTCAATTCCATCCGAAAAAATCTATATTTCAGTCTCAGCTTTATTTATGGGTATAATACCATAGAAAGGTACGCTTTGGTTTTGCACAATCCGCCGATATAGTTGGTTCTTATATTGTTTATTTATTTTGCATTAAATATGTTAATGGTTTGTTGTTTTTGGATAACATAATAGAAAGCTTTCAAGTTCTCATAAGTAGTTGTGTTAGTTCTCTCTCTAAATTGGTTTTGGAGTATCTTCAAACATTTTGTAATCATTTTTATTTATATTAGAGAGATTTTAAAATAAATTTGAAAAGAATTATGATCAGAATAGGAAAATAAATATTCTATTTTTTACTTCAGTCATTGGAGCATGACCAGCTCGCTCAAAGTGGAACATCTAATATTAAAAATATCTTATATGGTTTCTTAAAAAATGATTGTAATTCAGACAAGATCGGGTACTTTCATGATCAACCATCAGAGAAAATAAGATTTAAATGCATTATCGAAATGGAGGGGAAAATATACAATTCTTAGGTGATGAATCAACTAATCTCATTGAGTATATCAAGATCTTTGTTGATATCTTTTTTTTTCCTGACAATATTAGGTACCGGAGAGGGCAAAAAAAAACATAAGTATATTGGAAGATTAATATGAACCGAATTTGATACTAACAGGCCCGAACCATTTTTTTATGGTCAATCCAATCATCCTTGTGATATAAAGCGGACAACCAGTAGCCATGTGAACTGACATTTGACTCATGCTCCTCTGTTATTCTTCTAATTTTATCTCTCTTTTGTGGGTGTAGGAGTGTTTCCAGTACCCACTTGTGCTTGTTTCAAAGTTCATTTCCTGTATCTTATTTGGATTCTCGGTGGAATTTCACTTGTGGAGATTTTTGTTCTTAATTCCATCAGCTTCTTTTAAGCATATTATACCACATAAAGGTACTTTTTCCAAACTCTTTCCTTTAATTTCTTCTGACATCACTCTTTGTTCTAATATAATCCCTCTGGTTTTCTTATATCTGTTTGGGTCTGTTTCTTCGTGGGAGAAAAAAAATCAAAAAGCAAAAAAGAATGGATGCAGCTGTGGGTTTTCTACGCTCTATTGTTGCAACAATTGGAGAGTACACGGCCGTACAAATTGGGCGTCAGTTTGGGTATATAATTTATTACCAGCGCAACATCAACAATCTCAGAAGTCGAGTTGATGTGGACCTGAAAAACAAAAAAGATGAAATCCAGGGAAGAGTTGATGCGGACTTTAGGAATCCCCGAGACATCTTACCACAAGTTCAGACATGGCTTACAAACGTGGACAAAATCAGCCAAGAGTCCAACAAGTTTTTACGTGATGACGCTGTGCGAAACAAGAAGTGCTTTGTTGGGTTGTGCCCTGACGTGAAGTCGCGCTACCGAGAAGCAAGAAGGCCAAGGACAAGTGTTTGGCTGTTGATAACTTGATATCCGAAGGCAGGTTCGACAGCGTTTCAAACCCCGCGCCTCCACCAAAATTTGAGTCCATATATACGAGAGAGATGGAAGTTTTTGAGTCTAGAAGACAAAATTTTGAGGAGATCATTGAAGCACTGAAGGATGATCGGATTAACATCATTGGAATTTATGGGATGGGGGGTGTTGGAAAGACCACCCTGGTGAAAGAAGTTGCAAAGCTTGCTGAGAAACACCACCTCTTTGATGAGGTAGTGATGGCAGTGGTGTCCCAAACACCAAATACTAGGAAAATTCAAGTTGAAATTGCGGACAAGTTGGGATTAACATTTGATGTAGACAGTGATTCGGTTAGGGCAGGTCGCTTATGCGAAAGAATAAAGAAAGTGGAGAAAATACTCATAATCTTGGATGATTTGTGGACCGGACTTGATATGGAGGCTGTAGGAATTCCACACGCTAATGCTCATGAAGGTTGCAAAATTGTTTTGACTTCTCGCGACAAAGATGTATGCTTTATGATGAATGCTCAGACACATTTTTCCATCAATACCTTATCTGAGACAGATGCATGGACTTTATTCAAGAAAACGGTAGGTAAGATTGTTGAGTCGCAAGATCTGCATCCAGTAGCAATGAAGATAGTTGAAGAGTGTGGAGGCTTACCAATTGCTATCATTACGGTTGCTACAGCTTTGAAGGGTAAGAGTAGTGATGTGTGGAGGAATGCACTTCACCAATTAGAGAATTCTGAGCCGATATATGTCAAAGGCATGCATGCTAATGTTTATTCAAGGTTAAAGTTGAGTTATGACTTTTTGGAAACTGAAGAACTCAAGAATTTTTTCTTATTGTGTTGTCTGCATCCAGAAGATTGGAATATTCCGATCGAGGATTTGGTGAGATATGGGACAGGTTTAACGTTGTTTGGAAATGTTGATAGTTTTATGTATGCAAGACGCAGTGCAAAAGCGATGGTTGATAACCTTAAAGCAAGTTGTTTATTGCTGGATGGGGTATCAGTAGAGGATGTTAGGATGCATGATGTTATTAGAGATTTTGCTATATGGGTGGCATCAAGTGGTGAGCATGTTTTTTTGGTAAGAGCAGGATCCATGTTGGTAGAATGGCCTAAAGATGATGCACTCAGCCGTCATACTGCAATCTCATTACTTGAAACTCGTATTAAAGAGTTCTCTGACAGCCCTTCTTGTCCGAAACTTGATATTTTGTTCTTATCGAAAACCATTTTTGCATCATCTGTAGTCAATATTTCGGGTGAATTCTTTAAAGGGATGGAAAACTTGAAAGTTTTGTTGGGAAAATAGGCTTTCTCACAAGTGTAAATCAATGGAAGCAATATAAATAAAATAACAGAAAATAAATAAGCACACAAGATTTACGTGGTTCCCTCAAATAACTTGAGGTACATCCACGACGACCGGTAGGTCAGTTTCTTCCACTATCACCAAATCAGATTACAAAGTGGCCAAAAGACATAAGTCTTACAAACACACCAAGGTGTAAATCACAAGAGAAAAATACCTCACAAAATAAGTGAACCAAATCTCCAAGAACAAACCTCAAGAAACCCAAATATCAAGTAAAGAAATGTTACCCACTTGAAGAACAAATTTGCAGATTTTTCTGGCACCAAAAAGGAGAAGAAGAAGTCTGAATTTTTGTTGAACCAAAGACTGCCGAAAAAATATGTCTTCTTACCAAACCAACAGAGAAAAGATGAACCAAAGAAAATGACAAAAACTAATAGTCTTTGGTGGCTGCCAAATTCCTTTTAACTTGAAGACTCCAAACCAAGTCTTGGATAAGAGTCATACACGGGTAAGCCACCAAAAAATTAGCAAATTGATGAGTCCCACAAAGGAGGGAAACCCAACAATTCTCCCCCTCCCGACTTATGTGGAGGATTCGACCATTCCCGCCAAAAGTCGACACTTCTCATGCTTGTCCTTAGTCAATGCCTTAGTTAACATATCCGAAGTGTTATCATCAGTGTGAATTTTTTCAAGTTGTAACAACTTATCATTCAAGACATCACGAATCCAATGATATCTAACATCAATATGTTTCGATCTCGAATGAAATGAAGAATTCTTGCTCAAGTGGATTGCACTCTGACTATCACAATGAAGGACATACCTTTCTTGTTTCAAACCCAACTCTTGTAAGAATTCCTTCAACCACAATAATTCTTTGCAAGCTTCAGTGATGGTGATGAACTCAGCTTCTGTGGTGGAGAGAGCAACACATTTCTGTAATCTTGATTGCCATGCCACTGCTCCCCCTGCAAAAGTAATCAAATAACCAGAAGTAGATTTTCGACTATCAACATCACCAGCCATATCAGAATCTGTGAACCCATCAAGAATAGGCTCGCCTTTACCAAAACACAAACTCATCTTTGAAGTGCCCTGAAGATACCTCATAATCAATTTCACTGCTGCCCAGTGTTCTTTCCCTGGGTTAGACAAAAATCGACTGACAACCCCAACTGCGTGAGCAATATCCGGTCGAGTACAAACCATGGCGTACATCAAAGAACCAACTGCTGAAGCATAGGGAATTTTCTGCATCTCATTTCTCTTTTCATCACTTGTAGGACACTGACTTGAGCTTAGTTTGAAGTGGCCTGCAAGTGGACAATTAACAGGCTTTGCTTTGTCCATATTGAACCTCTCAAGAACCTTTTTAATATAATTCTCTTGAGATAACCAAATCAGCCCATGTGATCTGTCACGAACAATTCTCATCCCAAGAATTTGCTTTGCTGGACCCAAATCCTTCATGGCAAAGGACTTACTCAACTCTGACTTCAACTTGCGAATCTTACTCGTGTCTTGGCCCACAATAAGCATATCATCAACGTAAAGCAAGAGAATAATAAAATTATCATCTTTATATTTCTTCACAAACACACAATGGTCTGAAGTGGTTCTTGAATACCCATTCTCACTCATGAAAGCATCGAATTTTCTGTACCACTGCCTCGGTGCTTGCTTCAATCCATACAAGCTCTTCTTCAATTTGTAAACTAACTGATCATTACCCTTATCTTTGAAGCCCTCAGGTTGCTCCATATAAATTTCCTCTTCCAAGTCACCATGCAAAAATGCGGTCTTCACATCAAGCTGCTCAACTTTTAAATTCATACTCGCAGCTATACCAAGCACAGTTCGAATGGAGGACATCTTCACAACTGGTGAGAAGATCTCATCAAAATCAACTCCCTTTCTCTGATCAAAACCTTTCACGACAAGTCGTGCCTTGAATCTCGGTTGAGAACTGTTCCCATCATTCTTTCGTCTGAAGACCCATTTATTTTTCAAAATTTTCTTCCCTTTAGGCGGCTTCACCAAATCATAGGTGTGATTCTCATGCAAAGACTTCATTTCCTCTTTCATTGCTTTGAACCATTCAGTTTTGTTCTCATGTTTCAAGACTTCTTGATAAGTCCCTGGCTCCCCCTGATCTGATATCATCACATACTCATTTGAAGAATATTTTCTGGATGGCTGTTTTTCTCTAGTAGATCTCCTTAACGGTGTCTGTGGTAGTGGCTCTTGGGGTGGTTGCTCCCCCTCAATCTCTGGCTCAACATCATCTTCTGCTGCATCATCATGAGGTGTTTGCACTTCCTCATCAATATCATGAACAGCAGAGGGATTGAGAGGATCTAAATCAACAAGATCATCAGTACTAGACTCAGCTAACTCAAGCTTGTCGATGTCTTCAATAGTCTGATCTTCCAAGAAAATAACATCTCGGCTTCTGACAACTTTCTTGTCAACTGTATCATACAACCTGTATCCAAATTCTTCATGCCCATAGCCAAGAAATATGCATTGCTTTGCTTTTGGATCAAGCTTGGACCTTTCATCTTTTGGAATATGAACAAAAGCTCTGCAGCCGAATACCCTCAAGTGATCATAGGAGACTTCCTTCCCTGTCCAAACTTTCTCTGGCACATCACCATTCAACGGAACTGAAGGAGACAAATTGATAAGATCAACTGCGGTCCTCATTGCCTCACCCAAAAGGATCTTGGCAATTTAGAATGTGAGAGCAAACATCTGACTCTCTCAAGAATGGTGCGATTCATTCTCTCTGCAACCCCGTTCTGTTGAGGTGTCTTTTTAACTGTCTTTTCATGCCTGATACCATGATTTGTGCAATACTGATCAAATGGTCCAATATATTCACCACCATTATCCGAGCGAACACATTTCAACTGTCTACCTGTTTCTCTTTCAACCTTGGCCTGAAAAATCTTAAACACATCTAGAACTTGATCTTTAGTTTTCAGTGTATAAGCCCAAACTTTTCTAGAGTGATCATCAATAAAAGTGACAAAGTATAGAGCACCACCAAGTGTCCTAACTTTCAAAGGACCACATACATCAGAATGTACCAAATCTAAAACATGAGATTTTCTAGATGCAATGTTTCTACGGAATGATTTTCTGTTTTGTTTACCATGGAAACAATGAACACAAGTTTTCAAAGGCGTACCTTTTATCCCCACTAGAAGTTCTTTCTTGGACAAAACTTGCAATCCTTTTTCACTCATATGTCCAAGCCTTCTATGCCATAAATCAGTGGATGAGTCATTCTCTAAGGTATTCACAACACCCTTGCAGATTTTTGCTTGCATAGTGTAAAGAGAACAAGTCTTCTTTCCTTTTGCTACCACTAGAGAACCTTTGGAGAGCTTCCATTTTCCATTACTGAAATTGTTGATGTAGCCTTCATCATCTAACTTTCCAGCAGAGATTAAATTGAGTCGAATATCTGGTACATGCCTCACATCTCTAAGCAGCAATTTGCATCCAATATTTGTTTCCAAGCAAATGTCACCCATGCCGACAATTTTTGACACATCTTCATTTTCCATACGGACATTCCCAAAATCACCTTGTGAGTAAGAAATAAAGAAATCAGCCTGCGAAGTAACATGAAATGAAGCTCCAGAATCAATTACCCAATCCGTCTCTTGGTCAATCAAATTAACGCTAGCATCATCACAGATAATCATGAGTTCATCATCGGTAACTACAGCTGTATCAATTTACTTTTTCTCTGAATTTTTCTCTTTGTTCTGCTCCTTGAACTTGAGTTTTCTACATTCCCGCTTCATGTGCCCTTTCTTGTGACAATAATAGCATTCAACATCCTTTTTTGACATCGAGCTTGAACGACCTCTAGATTTATCACGGTTGTGCGGAACCCTACTCTTACTCCTGCCTCTCCCCCGGTTTTCCATTACAAGTGTCTCGGAGTAAGAAGAACCTGATGATTTTCTTCTTGTTTCTTCATTCAACAAACTGCTGGTAACTTGACTCATTGTTACCACTCCATCAGGTGCGGAGTTACTAACTGTGACCACCAAAGTTTCCCAGCTTTCAGGAAGTGAACTAAGAAGTAACAAAGCTTGCAACTCATCATCAAAAGTAATTTTCATGGCGGCCAACTGATTCACAATGCTCTTAATCTCATTCAAATGCTCTGCAATAGAAGTACCCTCCTTATATTTAGAGTTCACAAGCTTTCGAAATAAAAAGGCTTTATTCACTGCCGTCTTTCTATCATACAAACTCTCCAATTTGGTCCAAAGACCATGTGCAGATTTTTCTGTAGAGACATGATGAAAGACACTATCATCAATCCATTGTCGAATAAAACCGACAGCTTTCCGGTCTAGCTTTTTCCACTCGTCATCTTTCATCCCTTCCGGTTTGCCACTATCACCCTCTATGGGTCCATTCAAATCTTTACAAAATAAAAGATCTTCCATTTTAGTTTTTCAAGTCACCCAATTTGTGCCATTGAAACTAACCATACGTCCAACGTTGCCGTCCATAATTCACACACAGAAATATAACGAATCGGAACCGAATTAACCAATTGCTCTGATACCAGATGTTGGGAAAATAGGTTTTCCCACAAGTGTAAATCAATGGAAGCAATATAAATAAAATAACAGAAAATAAATAAGCACACAAGATTTACGTGGTTCCCTCAAATAACTTGAGGTACATCCACGACGACCGGTAGGTCAGTTTCTTCCACTATCACCAAATTAGATTACAAAGTGGCCAAAAGACATAAGTCTTACAAACACACCAAGGTGTAAATCACAAGAGAAAAATACCTCACAAAATAAGTGAACCAAATCTCCAAGAACAAACCGCAAGAAACCCAAATATCAAGTGAAGAAATGTTACCCACTTGAAGAACAAATTTGCAGATTTTTCTGGCACCAAAAAGGAGAAGAAGAAGTCTGAATTTTTGTTGAACCAAAGACTGCCGAAAAAATATGTCTTCTTGCCAAACCAACAGAGAAAAGATGAACCAAAGAAAAGGACAAAAACTAATAGTCTTTGGTGGCTGCCAAATTCCTTTTAAATTGAAGACTCCAAACCAAGTCTTGGATAAGAGTCATACACGGGTAAGCCACCAAAAAATTAGCAAATTGATGAGTCCCACAAAAGAGGGAAACCCAACAAGTTTTAGACATAACTTCCATGGATATTCCATCAATGCCACCATCCACGAAATACTTAAAGACACTTCGAACATTATGCTTACAAAGGTGCAAGCTTCCACAAATATTATCAGTAATTGGAGAGTTAAAGGACCTAGAAACTCTCAGCTTTATTGGGTCTGAAGTTGCAGAATTACCGCGAGAAATTGGACAACTCATTCGTTTAAGGCTATTAGATTTGACAGATTGTTCATATTTGAAATTAATTCCAGCTGGTGTCATAGCAAGCTTGACCCGATTGGAATGCTTGTACCTGAGAAATGGTTTTAAGGACTGGAGTGTCGATGGTCAAGACATGGGAAGAAATAATGCAAGCCTTACAGAGTTGAAGCATCTTTCTTACTTAAGAACCTTAGAAATTGAAGTACTAGATGTTGAGATATATCCTAAAGATTTACTGTCTGGGAATCAATTGATTGAATATAAAATTGCTATAGGTAGCAGTTTTCTAAGGTCAGATGTAAAGAATAATTCAAGGGCCTTGAAACTCTCGAGATGTCAAAGTATTATTCAAGAAGGCGGTGGGGTCAGTATGATGTTAAAAAGAGCAGAAGCATTGATCCTAACGGGATTGGAGGACGTGGAGACTGTTCTCAATTATTTTAGAATCGATGCATTTTCGAATCTGAAGCGTTTGAAGGTTGATGGGTGTGGTGGTAAGATTGAATATCTAGTGGACACCACGGAAAGGATGTCACCTTCTATTTTTCCAGTGGTGGAGATATTAGACCTCCGAAGCATGCAAGACTTTAGACAGATATGCCATGGCCATCTCCCATCTACATCTTTTTCTGAACTACGTGAGTTGTTGCTTGACAACTTACCTAAGTTAATAAATTTGTGGGAGGATCCCACTGGCCAAGCACAGCTTTCTAGCCTAAGGCAAGTAAATGTACTTACTTGTCACAAAATGAAATACCTCTTTCAGCAAGATATAATATTGTTAGAGTATGTGTGGCTCATATTTTGTTATGTGCATAATGGCAAGGAGGCAGATGCCGGAGCGGAGCCCGCGACGGCATCTGCCTTGCGGGATTTATATATAGGGGACGCTGATAAGTTGGGGGTGCGGGGGCAACGCCCCCGCGGTACGGTACAGGGGTATTTTTGTAAATACGTCCATATTAGGGTTATATAAATACTTAAGATGTAACCCTACTTCAATAAGGAATAGAACAACCGCTCGCTCTCGTGGATGTAGGCACATTGCCGAACCACGTAAATCTCTGTGTGTTATTTTTCTCCTGCTTTCTTAATTGTTTGATTCCTTATTATTCACCATAATTGCTGCACGATCACAACATAATAGTAGGAGATCTTGGGCAGCTCCAACACCTACATCTAGATAGCTGCGACAATATGGAAGCGATGCTTGCAATCAATGCAGAAGGAGCAGTGGCAGAAGCTGATGAAATTGTCTTACACAAGTTGGAAGAGTTGAACCTTTGGAATCTACCAGACCTCGTGAGTTTTTTTTTGCAAAACAAATAGTTCGGCTTCAGATAGCAGTCCTTATATCCGGGCACATGAACCTCTATTCAACAGAAAGGTATGTGACCACCAATACAATCTTTATACCAATTCTGAAATTCGCTGTCTTATCCTCGCTATCTTTATTTTCTCCCTATGAACATGTGTTACTAAAAAGCGTAAGATAGAATTGAAGTCAACAATATTTTTCGTCATCTCTCATAACTCATGAGGAAAACTTTTTATTAGTAATATCTATTTCTTCTTTCCTTTGTTTGGGTCACTGGTTGGTTTTATGTCCTTGCTCCTCAAGCCCGCCAGATGATCTTCTCCTTGAAATTTATAATATTTGTCTTAATTGCTCAAGATTCATGTGACACTATGATGTAATTATGATGGTTGTATTTCCAGCATTGGAGAGGTTGTCTCTCCACAAACTAGACATGGAAGAGATATGGCACACACAATTACTTCCCGCCAAGAACTTCAACAGATTGCGAGAACTGTCAATAACCAAATTTGAAAACCTAATCACAATTTTTCCATCCAATTTGGGACATTTGTTACAGAATTTAGAATATTTGTCTATTTCAAAATGTTATTTGTTGGAGGATTTATATGAAGGACATGATGCAACTTCAGTTACACTACCAAAGATTAGGACTGTTTTGTTGTTGGGTTTACCAAAATTGAAGGATACATGGTGGAACAAGGCCTGCCATGAATCTCGTAGCTTTGAGAATCTCAAAGAACTGACTATCGGAGGATGTAATTGTAAGAGATATGTTTTCTCTTTTACCACATCGAAACTTCTTATTCAACTCCAAGAGCTGGTAATAGAAGAATGCGATATGATGAAAGAGATAATAGCAACCGAAAGAGAGGAAGATGGAGAGGTTGTTGATGCAATTGTGTTCCCTAAATTATTTTACCTGTCCCTTGGTCGAATGCCTGAACTCACAAGCTTCTACCAAGGGAATTGTACTTTAGAATTCCAATCTTTGGAAGCATTGAAGATTGAAAAATGTCCCAAGATGCAAACATTTGTTGGTTCAAGCACAAATAGGTCAAAAGAAGCAAGTGAGGAAGGGTTAGAAGGGCAAACAGATCAAGAAGGCAACTATAGTGTCGCTGTGAAACCATTTTTCAACAAAAAAGTACGTTCTCTCTCTCTCTATCATTTTTCTAAACTACGCATGTAAGCAAAGGGGAACTTGGCTGAAAATTTCGCATATATCTATGTGATATTACTACTTCCAGCGGACAATCAATTTCCAGGATACCAAATGTGACACATCACTGATACTAGTTGTTGTCCATAATTCTTCTCTGCTTCGCTCACCACCAGTCTGTGAAAAATAATTATTTAATTTTTTCTTAGGAGGAAAACTTTTTATTACTAAAATCTAGTTACCCATTTATTTTTTCTTTTGTGGGTCATTGAGTTGTTTTACTTCCTTGTTTCTCAAGCCCACCACATGACACTGACAATGCCCACGTGAGAGGTGAACAAAGTATGGATTTTTCAATATGGGTAAAGTCTTTGATTACTGTTGATGATTTTTCTTATCCTATATATTAATCAAGCAAAACTGAATTTCTAGTTCATTTTCTCTCCTTGAAGCTTATAGTATTTGTCTTAACTATGAACATTCATGTGCTATTATAACATAAATTGGCAGGTTGTACTTCCCGCCCTGGTGTACTTGACTCTTCAGAGACTAGATAACCTGAAAAAGATATGGGAAAACAAACTTCCAATAGATTGCTTTAATCAATTAAGATTTCTTTCGGTGCGTGAATGTAACAATTTGTTACAATTTGTTACAAGTTGTACCATCCAAATTACTCCCAATGCTACACTATTTGAGAGAGCTTATTGTAGAAGAATGTGATTTAGTGGAAGAGGTCCTAGAACAAGTAGAAGATTCTGGAGGAAAAGTTATGTTCCCTTATGTACACACTCTTTGACTTGCACATCTACCAAACCTCAAGAGTTTCCACCTGGGAAATCATGCTTTGGAATGGCCATTCTTAAAAAAAGTGGAATTTGAAGACTGCCCCAAGATGCAAACCTTCTCTTCAGGGCTCCTAATTACACCCAAGCTAGATATTAGTTCATTAGGGTGTTGGAAAGGTTCTGGAAAGGAGACCTTAACAGCACTGTCCAACACGTTTTCAAAGAGGTATGTGCTCATGCTAGTACGCTTTAAGTTCTCATCATTTGCCTTGTTTTCAAACTCTAGATTTTGACTTCTAGACATCATTTTTGCATAGCATCGCAATTATTTGAAGGGTTGAAGAATAGTATGTTGGGAAGTAATGGAGATTAACTTGATTCACAAAGGAATCTAATATCTCTGCTTTGTCTTTCTGTTGGCCAACTGCTTAAGAATGAAAATTAGCTTGTGAAAAATGGAGCAGCAGATGAAAAATGGGATCTTTCTTGGCATTAGAGAAAGGTCTCCTGGAGTTAACTTTAAAAGATAGAAAGGTCTATTGGAGTTGACATTAAAAGATATTCATTTTGGGCTGTTAATCAAGTTCTTAAAAACAAAAAACCCCTAATCAAAAACTTGAGCTGTGTGTTTTGACGTCAGAATGTTGTACATTTAACTGAATAACGTGGACCAATGAAAGTTTCATCTTTCTTGTAATAAACCCCCTCAAGCTAATGTTAGCCATCCTCAAGTTCTAAAAAACCTATTCTTCTAATTCAATTTTTATTTATAAATTTTAAATCTAAATTTAAGAACTTAGCCTTATACTTTGGTAGCAAGTAGAACATACCCACAACGGGATAGCTTTGGGTGTGTGTGTTAATTTATATACTCCACTTGGCACTTCCTCTTAGAAGAGATTGTGTTAAGTGTGTGTTCAAAAAAAACGAGAAAGCCCTTCGGGGTCATGCTGGGGCGTTTTGATGTTGGGCTGGAAACCCACTCTTTGGGCCAGAGTGTTGGGATTTAACACGATTTAAATTCACTAACAAACATACACAATCGAAGAACAAATCAAGAATATAAAGCAATAAGAAACAAGAAAGAACAAGACACAGATTTTACGTGATTCGGCAATTTGTCTACGTCTACGAAGCTGCAGGGATTTCACTATTGAGAGAGTTGAATACAAAGAGCGGCTGTACAATCTACGATTAACTCTAATCACAAAACAACAGGGTTTATATGTCCTACGCACTGGACTGTATAACGGGCCCAAAATATTTTCCTCAAGGGCGTTGCCCCCGAACCCCCACGAGGCTTGTCCATGAGTGCTATGGTTTGGGCCTATCGGCCCAAGCCTTCGCTCCATGGACTAAGCCTCAGAAAATTTTTCATTAAAAAACCACACAACATTATTTGGGTCGGGTCATCATCCGGATCACATATACAAACTAGACTCCATAAAAAAAAACCAACACAAAGACCCTGCAGTTATGGTAATCATGCTAGGGTGTCAGGGGACTAGCCTATCCCACATTGGGATAGCTTTGGGTGTGTGTTAATTTATATACTTCACTTGGCACTTCCTCTTGTAAGAGGTTGTGTTAAGTGTGTGTTCAAAAAAAAAAAGTAGAACATATGCTCCTATGGATTCCTATGAGAATATCAAGTGGTGGTGAGTCTAGTGACACGTGTGAAATTTGTGTAGGAATTTATCAAAAATTCAAACACAAGATGTGGTGACCAAGAAACTTTTCTTTTTTGACAATCCCATGACTTGCGCTGTTGACAGATACTTGCGTTATATTAACTTGTTTGTGATCAGGGAAAACTTGGTGAAGGGGAGGAGAAAGAAGAAGAAGAAACTTTGACCACTCAACAATTCCCAAGAGAAGTATGCAAAGAAGCAGAAGATAAAGCATAAAATGCAAGGAACTCTCTTGCCATCAGAAGGTGTAAAATGTCGACGACTTACCACAAATGCCACGGAAGGTAAATTTAACTACAACCTAGTTTGACCATGAAGTTTAATACTAATCTTTCTGTGTGAGCAAGGATTGTTGTGTAGTTACGAAATAATGCGAATAATATGTGTTCTCAAGGCCAATTTACAAGAACTCAATACTCTAGCTTGTAGACGTGTGTTGATGGCAGCATTTTGCAAAACATATGATGCATATTGCATCACTATTCGCAAAGAAAATCTATATTCAAGGATGCCTGTACTACAATTGTGAATGCGCATTAAGGTGCAAATATTCAAATGAAGAAACATTTGTGTCATTTTTTCCCTTTGATTATCTTTTCTGGAAACATTATTTTGCTCATTCTTTGACATGTTTCTCGAAAGTGAGATTGGAAAAGCTAAATACTTGAAGATGTATAGTCAAAGAAAGATTTGTATTCTATTACCATGATTTGTTTTGTTATAATGAGAGAAGGAGTTGGGGAGAGAGAGAGTGTCTGTGCATTAAGAAGGTCATACATTTTGTTGCATATCAGAGATATCAATCGATAAAACGAGTAATAACAACCCTCAAGCTAGCTAGCCACTAAGTTCAGGGAAGCCCGTCCTTTTCGTTCAAATTTTGTCATGCAACCTTCAAACAACATGATCTTGGGCATCACCATGGAATCAAGAAGATTCTTGTGGGTCTAATCTAGCAAATAAGGAACATATAGAAATATTTATGTTTGTGGTTGATAGCTGCTCACGAATTTTGTGTTTTCTTTGCTTAATCTTCTTCAAGTCACTCTGCAATGAAAAAAATGAAGTCTCCTATTTTGATATCTTACTCTGCAATGTGAAAAATGAAGTCCCTAATTTTGAGTTTTATTTTTTTTACCTTCACACTTTTGGCAGGTTACTCAAGCTTCACACCACCTATGATCTGCCCTACACTTCCTTGCAACTACTGTTATGAATGTGCATCAATTTAGTAGATTAAAACGTGAAAAAAGGTTCATGGACAAGGAGAATTTGTAAGAAGTCTAACACTTACCATAGTTCATGTATTTCGATGAAATTAAGGTGTATAGTATATTATGCATATTGTGTTGCTATTCGTAAAGGGAAACTACGCAAGTATGTCTATATGTGCCCATTTGTGTATGATAATTTTGAATGCGCATTACGTGCAAATTTCAAGAAGAATTCTTATTTGTTGTCACATCTTTGTTACATAGTGAAACTATGATTTGTAGTCTATTAACATTCTAAGCATTAAACTTGCACATGTTCCTAGAAGTTTATATTTTCAGGGTTTTGCCCATTGTTCCTCTCTGTCTCTCTTCCCATTTCTTTTCTTTTTTTTTTTTTGTCAAACTTTCCTCGAAACCATATGATTTTTCTCATTCTTTGACATGTTTCTCAAAATGTATGAGTATTGAGAAGCTAAATGCATGATAAAATATAGTCCCATAAACTAATGCTTCTATAATAATGATATTCAAACTAGATGATTGATAGGTGCAGGGTAATTTATAATATTACATTAAATTGTATGCGATTTTGGAATTCAATCATATAGACCAACTTTGGGTAAAATATGATTTACAATAGTGGCAATGGTCATATGCATACTTATTAGAGGATCATAGCCAAGCTCGGCCATGTTCAATGCCCATCGCATGAAAATGTGACCCATATGATGCCCATGATTTAAGAGGTCTAGACCAACAATATGATCGGCAATAGCAGTAAATTGATTTGAAAAAAGGAAACATTAAGCTAGCCATATGAATTGAATTGTGTGTTATAAGATTTCAAAATCCAATTGTGAAGTCTTTCACACCCTGATTGTTGGTTTTTGTAAACTAGAGGGAAAATGGAAAATTTTGCCCAAAAAAAAAAAAAAAGTTATTAAAAAGGCAGATGCATGATAAGCTTATCTAGATTTAAAAGACAGGTCAACTCAAAGACTTCAAAACTTCAGCTTAATGTGACATCAATGAGGACTCAATCTTTATTTTGGCAAGTCCTTTCCTACGCATCGATGTTTTGTGCATGGTGGAGAAGCTCTAGCAGCTAATACGTAGAAATTCATCTCTTTCTAGGAAAATACTCCGAGAATAATCAGTCCCTTCTTCAATCTAATGACATGAAAGAAGATTTAGTCCTCTAAATGGTTGGCCATTCTGAAGGAGATATGATTCAGATTTATGTTTCTAGGCCAACACCAGTAGAATAAGGATTACCGTGAGATGTGACTGAGAATGTAGTGGCTCTCCTATTGAATCAGCAAGCTCTCATTTGTAACAATCTACAATGGGATGAAGCTGATGACTGCTAAAATGAAAAATCAATGAAATTAAAGAAAGCTAAGAATGCGAACGACTCTTAAATGTCTTATGTTGAATGTTATTTTGAATAACATGCATATGCGTTTTTACTGTGATAATAATACACTAGTTATTGTTTGTGTCTGAAAGCACAGAGTAATAAAAAATAGTAAACAATAAACATATTTGTATTCATATCCAAAATCAAATCACAAATATAAATGAGAAATAAATGAATTTAAACATCGATTGTAATAGAAGTGAGAGGTGGTGGGTGACAATGACAATGGTGCCAGTAGCGACGACAGTAATGGTGGTGGCGACGGCAACACGGTGGTGGTGGGGGGCGGCGACGGCGACGGGCAACGATGGTGGTGGTGGCGGTGGCGGTGGTGTGGGGGATGGTGATGGTAAAAGTGGTGGTGAGGCGATTTCAAACACTATTTTTTAAAAAAGATTTATGAAAAATAATTTTTAAAAGTACTTTAAAAAAGTTATTCAAAATACATCTTTTTAACCTTATTTTTCCTATTAAATTATTCAAAAAATCTTCAAAAACTCTATTAATATAATATTACTTATCTCATATGCAAAGATAATATTATGTCTATATATATGTATTATTTTTTTTATTGAAAAGTTGAACTCTTTTATTTCTAAGATAAAAAATAATAGTATATATTTTTTTTAAAATCAATTTATGTTGCATCAATTTAATTCTTTAGTCACAATAAATTTTGTAAATTGTACTAAGATTTGATGTAAAAATAGATATTTTAGTATATTTTTAAGTAAAACTTGAATTTTTTAGAATTTTAATATGCATGATAATATATATTATGGAGTAGTGTATTAAATCTTATTCCAATTGACCTAACTAATTCTTAATTATATTAAGGTTCCAATATGATTAAGATATATATTGATAATTATTTTTATTTTATTCAAGGAATTATAAGTGAAATATTAATCAAATGAATTTCAAAAAATTTAATTTCCTAATTATCACTAAAAAATCAATCTCAATCACAAAATTCTAAAACTATAGAACTTTAACTGTTTCTTTTTTTTTTAATAGTTAGAAAAAAGAATTTTGGGAACAATCAAAGTTTTCATAATTATAATAGAATATGAGTTATGAAAAATTAAATTTGGTAAATTTGAGATAGTATTTAATTCAAATATACATGTACTCATTATATTTTATTAATTTTTGTGTATTGATAGTGGTAAACCATAAAAGTTAGAAACAATCATCAACTCATTATTTTCTCTCTGTGTTTCGAGCACTGAGATAATAAGTTTTTTAATTTAGGCACTAAATTAGATATTACAGTTAGATTTTGCCTCAAACTGATTGTGTTATAAAAAAGATTAAGTAAATTAATCATACTATTAGTTAAAAATATTGTACTTTGAAAAGTGAAAAAAAAATTCAATTAAAAAATTTAAAAAGCCTCACTTAAATCTATCGCTATAGGCATTTGGTCATCTTGGACCGACCTTAGTTTTAATCTTTTTAAAACTCTCATATCATTGAAAAATTACCTATTAATGAATTAAAATATTATTTATTAAATAAAAAAAGTAAAGAAAGATGAGGCAAAATTTAAATTTATGGTTCAAAAAGATGGTGGAAATAGTATGGAGGGAATAGTTAAAATAATTTTTATATGGTCGTGTTAAAATATCATTTGAAAAATTGCACCAAGTTTATAAAATAAAATACCAATATTGCGCGTCTCTCTGGCTCTGCTACAAGGGTTTCGAAGTCTCGCATCTGTGCGAATTTCTTGTGCAAATTGGCTTTCTACGAAATCTGTTGAATTCAATCCTAGGTTTTATTCTTCTGTATACCTTCTCAGATCACCTCAAATTCTCCAATTTGAAAATTCAAAGGGCATTGATTCAACGCTTGGCGTGATGAGCTAAGCTTTGATCGGTTCTGTTTTGTGATCCTAGTGCTGTTGAGATCTGAATTTATCGGTATAGAAATGGAAGTTGATTTCAAGGGGGATGTGGCGGGTCTCGACGCTGAATTGTTGCAGCTTTCAGAGGTGTCTCCTTTGGCAATAAAGGCAAATCCTTTTGTTGCAGAGAAGCTTTTTGAGCAATGGCTTTCGCTTCCCGAGACATGTGCTTTGGTAATTTTCTAAACAGCCCCAACCCAGTTTTACGGAAATTTTATCATTGTGTTGTGTCCTAGTGATGATTGAATTGTATTTCTTCGCAGTTTATTGTGCTTGTTTGTTGATTTGTTATTGAGATTTTTGTGTTTGCCTTTTTTTATAAATGCATTGTCTTACAATGTTGATAGATTATCTATGTTCTGATTTTTGTATGATGGGTTTAATAATGTTGCTGAATAATATGAATAAATGAAAAGTTATTTCCGGTAAATTCAAGATGTTGGAAGGGATGAATACCATGAATTGATGTAGAACACAAAGTGGTTGTCCTAATATTTTCTGGAGGATTTCATCAATACACTGGCCCATACAATTTTGGGTATAAGTCTTTTTGTTTTTGACAATAATCAGACATTTTACTGATAAAAATGTAGTACACCATAGAATGAAAGAGGGTGCACAAGTTGTCCAAGCCTCACATCAAAAAAACAAGAAAACAGTCCAATGAAACTTC